AAAAATAAATTATTCTATTTTGAAATATGTCTATATATTTGAGAAGGAGAAGTATGTTATGACTTTTCAGTAGCAGGACGTTTTGGAAACAAGAAGTCTTCAAAACTTATATCTAAAGATTTTTGGTGGCCTCAAATGTAGAAGTTAGTAAAAGACTTTGTGTAGTCATGTGACATTTGTTTACAATCAAAAACTCCTTGTCATCGACCCTATGGACTTTTTTAACCATTGCCTATATCCAAACAACCATGGTCTTCCATTTCTATGGATTTTATTACAGATCTTCTAAGTTCAAGTTCACATGACTCTATATTTATAATCATAGATCGCTTCACCAAAATGGCACATTTTGTACTATGTACAAAATCTATTTCAGGTGAAGAAATAGCTAAGCTTTTTATTGACAATATCTATCACTGTCATAGATTGCCAAAAGATATTATATTGAATAGTGAGACTTAATTTGTATTAAGATTCTAAAAAATTCTATTTTAAATTCTAGAAATAGATATAAAGCTCACTTTGGCTTTTCATCTTCAAATTGATGGGCAAACAAAATGGATGAATCAAATTTTGGAGCAATATTTGAGATATACCATCCATTCAATCAGCCATCTATCCATCTATTCTTTTAGCCATCTAATCATCCATTCATTCAGGCATCCATTTTTTCAATCATCCATCCATCTATCCATCCATTTATCTATCCGTGTATCCATCCATCTATCTATCCATCCATCTATCTATCCATCCATGAAAATTTCTACCAATCCTAGTCATGTGATTTGATTTTTTATTTAAAAATTGTACAACACAAGGCCTTAAGTCTACGTGGAAGTACATGCCCACATGGCTGGTAGGTGGCGGTGGCACAAAGATGGACGTCTAAAGCATGGTCATATATAGAGAAAGGGATAGGATTGCATAGAGGAAAGAATAGATGCAACATATAGTGCGTGCATAAAAGAGAGTGAGCAAGAGGGAGGATTGGTCACGCCACTCAAGCAAGCAATTCATCCGCATTGAGTCCTTACAATCAGTACCCTATTTATCCATATTTTATTAATTGAGGCTATGTTATTGTTACAATAAAGTGGAGCCCATTCAATTTTCTACTTGTCATTTCTAGCTCTCCTCTACCTTCTTAAAGACTTTGTATTCATTTATGCCACTTCTCACTTGAAATTCTTCATGCTAATATCTTCATACATTCTATCTCTTGCATTGTTTTTCCTACAACTGTGCAATTCCTCTCCTCTCTTATAGTACTTCCAAATATGTCCTACTACACCAAGATCTCTCTTCATCCAATATACGCACCAAGATTGTGATAGAATCTTTTTGCTTCTATCATGATGCTTTTTCTCATTCTTTATTGGAGTCAAGCATTTTGAAATATGAGAGGTAAAAAGGTAGTGCCAAGATGATTGGACAATTTTTTTGCCATTGATAGAATTTGCATATAATAATTTGATATATTCTTCTATTCAACAAACACCTTTTTATGTCAATTATGGTTATCATCCATGACTTGATACTTTTGACTTTTCAAAAGTAGATAATTCTTTGGCAGAAGATTTAGTAAATCATTTCTCAAAATTACATGCAATAATGAAGACATAATTAAAAGAAGCTCAAGAATGATAAAAGATCAATACAAGTGCCTATCACAAGGAGCAACCACAATTCAATGTCAGTGACAAGGTATGGTTACTTTGTTGCAATATCAAGACTGCTTATCTTTGTGATAAGTTGGACTATTGTAGGTTGAAACGTTTTCTTATTTGTGAAAAAGTCAATCTTATTGCTTATCAATTAAATATATTGGAGTATATGAAGATCCATCTTGTATTTCACATATCTCTTCTTGAACCATATAAGACAATGAATATCTCAAGAAGAAGACAAATACCACTTCCTCTTATAGAAGTGGATAATAATCAAGAATTTGAGGTAGAAGAAGTCTTAGATTTAAGGCGACATCGAAGTAGGTTAGAATATCTTGTTTATTGGCATGGATATGATATTAGTGAATGTACATGGGAGCAAGTAAAGAATCTTACAAATACAGCAAAGAAAATTGAAGCTTTTTATCGACAACATCTATCAAACTAAGATGAGGATTGTAAGATCCATAAAAGATGATGAGTGCTCCTCGTAGAACTCATTCCTAGAAAGGGAGATAATGTCATGAATATTTATATTTACTCCAATAGTTACTTATATGTTTAGGTAGAAATAGATAAATATAGATTAATTTCATAAAGTCTTCTAGAAGAGCTTCCTAGAAGCTTTATAGATGTGGTATTGACTTTAGATGTGTTTGTAGATTAGAAACTTGGCCAACAAGTTAACCACGTGTTAATAGCTTATGGAACAAGTTAACTCCATATAATAGCTTATGAAATAAGCTAACTATGTAGCACATATATAAATAACTTGCCTTGTAAGTTAAGACATATGGCTAACAAAGTCAACAGATGTTGGAGATTTTATAGAATATTGCCATATAGCTCCTAGTTAGAGAGTATATATGGAGGCAAAAATGAAGCCTTCTTCACTATTGTCAATGCCTTTCTAATCTTTAGTTTTATTTCAAGACTTTCTAGTCTTCTTATTTTTGGCAATAGCCATTTTAGTTTGATATCGTATCATCTTTGAGAAACTTTTTAGTTCCTTTTAGTGATACAAGAGTATATTAAGGATTTTCTTTCTTGAAGAATCATATCCTTGATACTTTCCTCATATATGCATTGCTAAAATATAAGATATAGAATTAGTCTTATTGTTTCTTTCCATCTCTTCTTCAAAGAAAATAGACTTTACTACTTCTTCTATGATTTTTGTTTTTTTCAATGCAATTGATTAAACAAGTCAATTTGAAGATTTTGATAATACATTACATATAAAAAAATATCATACTCTGTTTGCCTATTTTACTATCAACTTCAATATATTCAATCCTAAGATCAAAAATCTCCACAAGAAAAATCTTCATAGATTTCCATCCATATATCAAAGATTATGCAATTTCTTCATTAAAAATATGTCAATAGCAACTTCTAAAGGCTATTAGATTTTAGCCAATGTATCACACATCTCTTTTGCAATATTGTATTTGCATATATGAATTAATTGCAAAGGCTTAACAATAAGTGCAACCAGTGCTTGTGCTTCTATTTCACTTGATTTCCATTTTAATTTTTCATCAATATCCATAAGACATTGTAATATTCCATCTACATGCATGTTAAACTTACAGATGTGTATCAAGTGCTTCATAACAAATGCCCATATATTATATTTTATTTTCATTTAATTGATCAATACAATGATCCATTAAAGAAGATGTCATTGCCAAATACAATCAATGCAATAGTAACAAATAACTATAAAGAAATAATTAACAAATATTCTATAAAAGATAATAATTGAAGAGTAATAATAATATCGAGCTATATTGGAGCAAAAAAAACATATATTTACTATGAGCAACAAATAAAATTTAATTAAATAAAAAACAATGATATCAATGGTATTAAAGTCTAGCAGCAATGAAACTCCAACAACTCCAATACTCCAATAGCACTCTTTGGCTTTAGCACTTCGGCACTTCAGTAGTGCTTCTTGACTCCAATAATATTCCAATAGTGCTCCTTGACTATAGTAGTACTTTAGTACTCTAGTAGTGCTCCTTGGCTTTAGTAGTACTTTAGTACTCTAATAGTGTTCCTTGGCTTTAGTAGTATTTTAGCACTCTAGTAGTGCTCTTCACCTCCAACAACAAGTAGATCATCTATATAAAATATTCATCTAATTATTATTTTTTCATCTACAAAAATCATTCGAATATTTTTCATCCAATTTTTTGCCTAACGAATTTCATCTATAGCTAAGGCTTTGATACCATGTTACAAAATTGGATGAATATCATTCTATTGCAAACCAGAATGTAGCGGAAACTAGAGTGTAAGTATCTCTAATGTCTTTGTTATGTGCAAGGTAAGTCATAACTTTTGATACATAAAATATGGAATATTCAACATATTTGTAGTTACTTGGAATACTACATTCCATTCTCTTATTTAGCATTAGTTCCATTGACATAGGTTGAGGGTATGTTTAAAACCCTTTAGATGGTATTGTTGTACGACACATTTGCCTATAAGATTTATGAATTTGTCGAGGATGTTAAGTTTGTGATGCACTTAAAATTGTGCCTACTCAATCATCCAAGTCATTGCAAAGATTGGGCCATACTTGAGGATTATTATTGTTGTCTGTACACTTAAGAATAGAATGAGGATTATTATTGTTGTCTGTACACTTAAGAATAGAATGAAGGTCTAAATTTTAAGGAGGAAGGTTGGACATCTTTAGTTGTTTGAGTTGGTGGCCAATACTTTCTTAAGGCGTCTTTGACTCCACAAATATCTCCCATATCTAAGAAACTTAGATGTATTATTCACAATACAATGTGTTGCAAAATGGATCTGCTAGTTCCCCACGCACTGCAGTGCAGGACCTAGAGACGCGCATATTGGCCTCCAACCGTTTGCAGCTCGACTGAAAGTTTCTACTACTCATAAAGAGGAATTGTATTGCACTCTCTAGCAGCTCATTGAGCAACACAATATCACACTTTTAACAAATGTATGCAACAGTACATTTAAGTTAGATGCACATGAAATCCAGGGATATGAACATTTCTGGGTGTACCATGTGTCCCTGTTGCCTAAGAGAATAGTGCTGAATGTGCTCTTCACTTCAAATCCGACCTTATCCTTTCTTTTCAAGCTGTGTGCGGAAATGCCTTGTACTCGATATAGTATCCATAAGTATGAGGTCGTGAGGTATGATATACGAATAATCACGCGCTCATCTTCAATGTGATCAACACAGCAATATGCATGCTCAGACACAAATCGACAGCATACGATGTATAGTTACAGCTTAGTAATTGCCCCATGTCAATCGGACAGGTTCTTCCATAAGAAGTCTTTTGATGAACACAGTTATGTCCACTTTCGCTTTCTCAAGCTATATTAATTGCAAAGTGATTTGGGAAGATAGCTTTACACGAATTTCAGACGACTTGTGAAGGGAAACATGTTGAAAAGTATTATGAATACGGGAATAAGTTACGGAACATCAATGCTAGAAACTACATCCAGCCTGAGTAATTTTTTGGTAGTCTTCAGAGACCTAAACTAGACAATCCTATCAGAATCTCTTACATGCACAATTTCGTGCCTCGTGTTCAAGAAGGATCTGTACGCTCATCCAAGGAGATTGAAGCGTTTGAACCGAGGCATGCGTGGGAAAAGGTATGTGACTAAGTTACATCTCCCTCGTAATCCAGATGATTTGTGAAGGTGTATCTGCGGACCCATCGTTGTAATGCTATCTAAACCAAATCGTTTGGGAACTGCTGAAACTTGAGTTCTACTGTTTCCAAAACCGGGAGGTCGTAGGTAAAAGAAGGTCAGCGTCCTCAACTGTCAGAGAGGTTTACACTTTGTTGAGCTCAACGTCAGAAACTGGGGTGGCCTTGGAATCAGTAACGGGATGGATGGTCAAATCGGGAGAATTCAGACCTCTCTTTCCACGCTCGCTTCTCGCATTAGAGGCGAATTTCATGCTTGTTGCATGCTTCCCTTGCTCCTGCTCCTCGGCACTCCACTCGGAGGCGTAGTAATCTTCTTCGGTGCTTTTGGATGGAGGAAAGAAGATCCCTCCCCACTGGGGGAAATAGATAAATACTGTTAGCGCGGCGACACAGATGACCATCACACCCATGAACTGGATGCCTTCTTCGGTTCGATACGAACCCGATGTGAAGAATACTGTTTGCAGTACCACGGAGCCTACATTCCCTCCTGCGCCAGTGAATCCCGAAATCACACCAAGTGATCTCCGTGAGATAAAAGGGATTATGCCAAAAACAGCCCCGCTAGAAGCCTGGATGAAAACCGCGAAGACGATCAAGACGGCTATGGCGGCAGTCAAACTGTCCATCCTCCCAAGCACAATGCAGAAGACTGCCCCAAGTGAATGGCATATCCACAGCGTGCACAGGCGACCTTTCATTCCAAAACGGCGCGCAACAGTATCGGAGATGATTCCACCACTTGGACGAGCGAAAAAGTTCATCAAGCCGAATAATGAAGCGATTATTCCAGCTGTGGAGAGATTCAAATCGAAGCGGTCATAGAAGTACTCAGCGATGTTGTTGTTGACTGTCAGCTCAACGCCGAAGGTGAATCCATACAACAGAAAGAACACCCATGTTCTGTAATTTGTAATTGCGTACATCAAGACCTGCCATAGGAAAAAAATATAAACAGTCAGTTCACGAAATCATGGCCGCTACATTTTAACAGTTCATAGTAAATGACACCATTTGTGAATACAGCAACGTCCCATGGTGAAAATCGAGTAACGGGATAAACCTTTAGAAAGCTATCTTTCACTTTGACGCCTTGTTTCTGCAACTGAGAATAGTTGCCGTCGGGAAGATCTTGGCCGAGAAATAGAACGAGGAGCCCCATAATTGTCTGCATCGCTCCGGGTAAGAAAAAGGCCAGGCGCCATGCAACGAACGGTGTAGAGTTGAAGCTGTTCATGTACACATACCAAATTCAGGAAAAACGAAGTCATCTTAACTCATGCCAACAATTCGATCAAGCATGAACACTTCTCTATGAAATGAAAGCCGATGTCAATAAAACATGGTTGGTACACAAACCTGTCTCGGATTAACGCGAAAACCAGAGGCATGATGAGCTGAGTAGCGCCACCACCGAGGTTGCCCCAACCCGCGGCCAGCCCATTAGCTGTGCCGACGATCTTGCTGTTGAACATGGAGCTCATCCAAAATTGGCAAGAGACGAAGGTGGCTAGAGCGAAACCGGTAAAGAATCGGACTATTATAAAGCTCGCGGCATCTGAAACAAGAGCCATTGAGTACACGGCTGGCGAAATTATCATAATCAGGAATGCACAGCCATATCGGGGTCCAACCACGTCGCACACGGTTCCCATCAGCAGACGAGACAGGATAGAACCTGCATATACGAAAGAACAGCTTTGTTAGAATGGTGAGTGTCACTGATGGAACTGAGATCGTGACTGTAGGGAATAGGTCCGAACAGTCACTTGCCAGATACTGAGGCGATGGCAGCATGTCCAACGTCGGTTTTGGTCAAATTCAAGTTGTCACGGATGATCGGCATCAGGGGCGGCGACGCGAAGGTTGCCAAGAAACATGTAAAGAAAGACACCCAAGCGAGATGAAAGGCGCGCATGTGTGGCTTTGCGAAACTGTAAACTCGGATTGTTTTCGCCTTGTGCTCAGAGTCCACCGGGAGCGCAAACTTCTCAGCGTCGGGGTCCTCTACAGTTCCTTGAATCACTGAGAATGCATACACAGGCTCTTTTCCTGTCACACCGTGCATGGACATGCCGGGAACAGTCCTTCCCCCATGTCCCACCGCCGATGTTGTCTGGTCTGCCATTGGAAACTTGTATCTGGGGCGACCGCAGCAACACTATGATCACGTGCGTCGAAACAGATCCGATGACCACTTGATTGAGTCCCAGCACTGATAGAAATGTCAGCAAATTCCTGCAATTGAATGACAAAATGACAGATATCAGAAGGCATACAAATAATAGAATGTCAAAACTTCGTTTCCACCAACCATGTCGACAACCATGAATAAGGAAATGGAGCAGCATTGCGAGCGCAGCTCGAGAACAGCAGCGGTGAAGTCAACTGTATGAATTGATCAGATCACGACTGGCTTTCTGGCATGAGAAGTAGAACAACATATAACCAACACAAATGGAATACGAATTTCGTGTATAGTAACAAAATCTTTGTATGCCTCGTGATAAGTGTAGTACGAATTCGTTCTCGTCTCAATTTCTTCTCTACTATTAGCTGCAGATGAGATGCAGTTGCGCTTCTAGCATCGCAGAGTAAGCAATTGTGTTCCTATTTTGCTATTTGTGCACCTCTAATTACGATGGAATAGACGTTGAATAAGGTACTTAGAAAAGTATCGTATCAGAGTGATGTGTAGTTACGCACACAAATGGGCAGCTGAACTTGACGCTATGCGGATTAGAAGAATCGACATGTCAGGCCTGTAAGCTTGTTGGAGAACTGTGCCATCTCACTTCTGCTGTAAAACTCATGATCAGATATGCCCCCATACCAGTGGAGTTTCTGAAAGAATTGCTAAGTACAGTAATGTCGCTTACGAATCTCTACGGCCACGAACTATGCATGTAAGCTCTTTTACGACGAGAGATAAATCTTGTAACGACTAAAGTGGGTAAATTATTCCACACCCATCTCTGAACCTCATCATCCTTGATTGTGAAAGGTACATGACAGGCTTATCCCTCCAATCCTGCAGTCAGATGAACATGGTACCTGACAACGTCTACTAGAGCACATTTGACGTTGAAAATCACTTCACTCAATGTAATCACAAATCGCACATCGAGATACCTTAATACTATCAGAATTCATCATTGTAGACATCACGCAATAGAACTGCTGCCCAAATTGAACTGCCTCATCGACTACGCTAGTGACAAGGATCCAGACATGAGCCCAATCCAAGCTCTCACTGAAATCAAACGCAACTATGCTATCGCCAAAACAACACTCCAACGCACACTCGTAAGTATCAACTTACTTGTTGCGCTTTCAGGTAGTCCACATACACACCCACATCGTCGAAGTGAAGGAAGGATGCGGACAGCAAGACAAATACACAGGTAATCACCTCAAGCAATTCTACGGAAGCTACGACGTCAGTCAGAAGAAAAAAACGCAAAAAATGAAGGATCGTCCTCAAACTTGGTGACGGATGTCCATGAGAAGGCCGCATTACTCACCGAGCTCATTCCTTGGCGAGCAGTGACGCCGTTGGAGCATGCACCACGAGAACTTGGTAATACCGGACCGGATTATCAGTGCGATGCGGAGGACCGTATGTTGCAAAATTGTGATCAACTACAAGCGCAGATTCTATTTATCTTCCGACAGACGCAGGGGCGAATGGAGAGTGTCTAAGCGACGTGGCTGGGGCTTGCGACTGCGGAGAGAAGCCGCGGCCCACGGTTTCGTGGTTGAACACTGGCGGCTTTGTTGTAGTGGGGCACCTTTCCGCACAGGTGGGATTAGGGCTCCAATGGCTACGCATAACTTCCTTCCCCGGCAGCGTATTGGAGTCAGGAATCGGAAAGTCTCCTGGCCCTACCATCATAGCAATAAATTATTAAGGAATATACTATCCATCGGAATAGACACATCACCCACATTACAGCCTAGTCTAGTTGTGTGAAAGGGATCCTCGAAGAATGAAATGGATCAGAAATAGAGTCACGAAAATGTGATATCCAGACTCTGACAATAGTTACCCATTCTACTTACTGCTCTATCTCTCTCTCTCGTGGGAAGTGTTTTGGCTCTTCCTTTTCCTTCGCATTTTCATTGTTGCAGCCATTTCCGCGTGCTCTGATCTTTGGGTTTCGACCAAGCATGCAGGCGCATGTTGTTGCATTGCCGTCTTGGATTCTCCGCCTCCCACAGTTCTAGGGTTCACTGACAATTGCTAGAAACTGGCTGAAAATTGCTCGAGCCTTGGATTCTTCTTGTGCTCTCGCTTCTAACGTGGGTAGAATTGAGTTTTTTTATTTTTATTTGTTTTATTTTATTTTATTTTATTTTTAATTGAAGCTCTTTGGGATTGTTAGTATGCATGTAGAAAGTATCCCAACTATTTCTTTTGTCTTGAATCGTTTCATTTAAAAGTATAAATAAATTAAAAAATTGAAAATCATGTGTTATCAAAATGGGTAAGTATCCCAAATTCTCAAAGAAACGGAAATCTCTAAAAAAGTAATAAAATAAAACATGTAAGTATGTAATACAAAGCATTGTGTTACATAATAAAAGTTATCTGATTTAAAGTAGCATTAAAGAAAATATTGCCAGATACAAAGTATAAAAATATTTTAAGTTACATTAAATGATTTTTTTTTTAAATAAAAAGAGTTGTACTAAAAAAAATTGTAGAAGTAGAGAACCTTGTATCATGACCTAAGAAGTTAAAGTTTTTATTTAATCTAAAATTAAATCAATTTATAAAATGCATTATGTAAGCCTTATTATATGAGTTTAGAATATCTAAACATTATTTTGAGTTTTTTTTTTATGAATTTGATATGTCATATAATAAAAATTGTACAAGTCAAAAGTGTCACCATATTTTAATGAGAATTTAGACATTTTTTAATGCCATATTTAACATGCAACTTGTTATACAAGTTGTTGATGGTTGAGCATTCTATTTACCAAACAATACTTTTGTGAAAAGTCTATAGAGTGCATTGCAAATATAAAGTTTATAATATTGTTGGAAATGTTGTAGGATATACGGCCAGTTGAATGCAATGTTGTGACCAAAGGTATTGCAAGAAACTACCATGCATTATAGAATTATTAAAAATAAACAAACAAAAAAAATTTCAACTTATAAAATTATTAGACATCAATTTATTTAGTAACATAGATAAGTTTTATATATAAGCAAGATATGTTATTTAAATTTGATAAGCTGGATTTTATGCCATTGGATGGATTAATATATATATATATATATATATATATATATACCATGAAAATTTATTTTATTAATAACTATAATCTAACTTTTTCCAGTCATTTGAATAAAAATATTATATTTTATTTAAGATTTTTTCTACGTTTTTATATACTATTGCTACAGCATTTTAGTTTTGTTGTATTAGGAAAAAAACTGAAAATTACCAAATTTGACTATTGATGTGTTAATTACAATCTTCTCTTAGAATCAAACATTGAACATTTTCTAACAGATCTGCAAATTTTCAAAGAGAAACAATAAGCAAAGAAAAGCTTCAAAAAAAGAAAGAAGAAAAAGACTCCTCTTACTACTCTTCTCTTAATTCACATACATCATCGTAAACTATTTTATATACGAAACAACGTTTCAAATTGCAATACAATTTGTTTTGTTTTTTCAACTTCAGTTCCAACTAATATCTTTATATCTATATATATATATATATATATGTATATACACATATATAAATGTAAGTTTATTTTCCAACAGTATACACAGGGATAGGGATTGGGACAAGCAGCAAGATACTTCGGCACCGTTCCTTGGAAGCAGCTCCTGAAACAATGGCACTAGATAAAGACAGAGTTGTGGGCAGGGACCCGAGTCTGTTGCATTCAAAACCATCCATCCCTCCAACTCGACGCCGCAGCCTCGCCTTGTTGCTTCAGGATTCGGAGGGTGCCATCAGCAACAAAAAAATATAATAATAATAATAATAATCTGTCATTCACACCTTGAATCACAAAAAAAACAGGGGGGCCTTCCATCGTTGATACTGTTGTGTAGGCGGTTCCAGGCGGCACATAAGCTTGGTTCGGTTGCTTGATTTGATCCCAAGGTCTTGAATAGTAGGCATCTTGCCGACTGTGCTTTGTTTTTAATGGAAGGTCTCGTGGCTCACATCGAGTCAAGATCACTTTCTAGCAATTCATGCCATATGGCTTAGCAGTGAGTTAGCAGGTGTCTGCAATCTGTACAAATATTTATTTCTCTGTTTATGTATATCTATCTATCTATCTATATATACTTACAGATACATATCAATGTCACGAAAAGCTCCTTTGAAATGGTCGATCCAAACTTAATAACTATTGCTAGGGATCCGTGGCTCTTGGGTGGTCTACATGTAATGTACCCACGTCGCTTTACAGTGGATGCGGCATCACGTTCCATCTACTGTAATCACCTCGGAAGCAGCTGCTGCCGCTGCTGCCTTCATTGCTGTTTTTTTTTGAATTTTTTGTTTTTTTCTGAGCGTGAACTGCAATAGGGATGTTCTGTTTCTAGAACTTGCGTATCAAAGCATATCTAGAAACAGATCGATGAATCAACATGCGTTCAGGAAGATGTTGTGTGAGACTGCAAAACGTGGATGATCTTTCTCGCAATAAAATGGTGCGTATGTTCGTCTTTCACAAAGTGATAAATTGAATCTCAGTTGAGAGATCGTTACAAGCGCGTAAGTGTAGATGGAGTTCATCTGCTTAACCGGAAACGGCGGTCTTTCAGTATACAGAAGATAGACCTAGCCACAGAACATATTGCGATTACAACAATAATTCCACCAAGAAACATTACTTGAGAAGAGGTCCTGGATCGATGCCTGCAATGATATCATTGAAACCTAGTTTTATTGCAGGCTTTGCACAAATTGCACTGCAATACCGGTGAAGTACGATGATGAATTCCTTCATTGCAAATGTGCGGAACTATGAATAATCAGCATCATATTAATCCTGGCTGGAAGATACCCTTGCGATTCAACTGTATTGACAACCGTGTATCATAAGGAACCAGACACAAGTGGAAAGTGCACAATGAATAACCTCCCGGAGTGCAAAGCGTGTCGGAAGTGGCATTGCAAGCCTATACATGTGATTCGCATTTGCATTAGTCACTATGGTGGCAGGGAGAATTTGAGAGAAGAGCAGACCAGCTGATGGGTCATAATGTCATGTGACTAGATCGGTATATGAATCCAGTCACGTGAATATAACTTTATTTTGTTGAATACACACAATCGCCTCGTATTTCTATTTATTGTGTTTGAATTTGTTTCAAATGATGTCTCTGTATACTTCCACTTTTTCGAAGTCATGAACATAATGCATGTACTATGCACGGCAGGCTGAGCCATATTTTATGGGCACTAAGTTTATAACTCTGTAGTCGTTTGATGCTAAGTCATGGCTGACAAAGGCCAGTTCCACACGCCAAATGCAACTTGCATCCAATTCTGAGGCCCATTTTGAGTTAATTCTTACTAGGTTCAACAACAGGTGTTGATCAGGCGTCCGTCGTGGAAACCTATCGTGACTCTCACTTGTAACTGCACAACCACTACCAGCTTTACTTGGAACTCTCCTGTTGTCGAACACGCTGCTTGTAGGGTTTAGCATCGACGAGCTGCTTGTGCTTCTCCGACCTTTGAATCAAGAACATGGCATCGTCTGATGAGAATGAAGCAGTCGGGAGTGGCTTTGCAAACGAAAAGCAGTTCGGTATGGGTGATCCGAGTATTTTGAGCAGAAAACCAGCCGACATGGTGCAGTATATGGTTGAGGAGGGGGTCTCACACAAGTCCCCTCAGACTTCATCAAACCGCCACATGAGCGTGCTTCGCAAAGGAGAAATGCGATCGAGGACGGACAGCAAGTAGCTGTGATCGACTTAGCGATGCTGGAGGACGAGCCAGGGAGAGAGCAGGTGCTTGCAGACACCATTCGAGCTTCTGAGGAGTGGGGCTTCTTCCAGGTATTTGACAAGAACGCCACTTCCACTTTGCCAACTCAGTTCATAAGATAAGGCAGTTGAAATATGAAGTTGCGATGGATGGCAGGTGATTAATCACGGCGTCCCTGATACTCTGATGGATGCTGCCATGGAAATGTCGAAGAGGTTCTTTGCATTAACCTCAGCGGAGAAAGAAGAGTTCAAAATGAGGCAAGTGGCAGGTGTTGGCTATGGCCGATTCGTGGTCGAGCGTCCAGGAGTTGCCAAAGATTGGGTTGATCGTCTGCAACTGAATAGCGTCAATAAAGACGAGCTCGAAGTTTACGACCTTGTTCTGAACAACCCCCCTGGCTGCCAGTAAGCACCTCTTTCCTCCTCAGATCTATGCGCTCTGATGACGGTTGTGTTGGTGAATCGGGAAGTGACGGAGCAAAACATTTTACAGAGGACTGTTCGAAAAGTATGGGAATGCAGTCTACGAGCTAGCCAGAAGAATCCTTGCCATTCTCTCTGAGGGCATGGAACAAAACTCGGAGTTTTTCTACAAAAAAACCGCAGCAGATGGATTCCTCCGGACGTCCATCAACTACTATCCACCGTGCCCACAACCCGACCTTGTCATGGGCACTTCGTGCCACGAAGATGCCTCCTCCATAACCATTCTCCAGCAAGACGACGTGTGTGGGCTAGAAGTACCAAAGGTCGGAAACTGGGTGTCGGTATCACCCATCCCTCACGCTTTCGTCGTCAAAATCGGTGACATACTCCAGGCAAGCAGCTCTCGCTTCTTCCATTCTCCATATCACTTACTTCGTGCTCAACTTTCCCGTCTGCCTCCATTAACTCAAAGTAATGTGCACACTGGATTTAACTCGTTTTAGCCCTCGACATGGAGCATCATTTGTTGCAGGTCGTAAGCAACGACAAACTGAAGAGTGTGACACATCGAGCTGTTGTTGCTGGTCATACTGGCCGGATCAGCATTGCCAACTTTCTAATGCCTCGGCGTGATACAAAAGTACAACCTGCCACAGAACTTTGCAGCAAAACCCAGCCTTCGGTGTTTGGATCCATGGAGTATGGTCGCTACTTGGTGGAGGTGGTTGCAACCAACCTTCTCCGAAACAAGGTCGACACACTCCGGATCAAACATCCTGTTTATGACTCATCCTCTTGAGCTTGAGTTCATGGGGCATTTTGACGTTCTGTGAAAAGGGTAAGCTCTGGAACAACAGTTTGCTTATTGGGACCTAGTTTTGCTACGTATATCAGGCATTGAATGAAGGAGAATGGACCTGAGAATAATGTTCCAACCCTTTTGCAAATAAGGTGAGCATGACATGTGAAGAATCCTTGAGAATTGGGACTATTTTATTTTGAATTTTTTCAGGAGAGGAGGAAGAGATTCTTCCATAAAAATATATGAAGAACCTTCATCTTCTTCTGGGAGGTGACTATTTTCAAACGGGCTTGTAAGTTGCTTTTGGATCCATGATTCCGGGATGGTTCTTTGCTAATTGGGGGAATCAATGGAGGGCCAATTATTAGGAGATTGGGTCATGTGGGTTTTTTATAGAATTTTTCTCTTATCCAGTACCCTCCAATTCTATTACATTACTAACATCAATTGTTGTTATGTGCTTTTTATAATTTTAAATAATAACTTTTTTATCAAAGAGAAATTTACTTTTCTAATATATTTTTATTTATGTCATTGATAGATTACTTTTATTTTTTCGTTTCTTCTTTATTCCTTTTAAAGCCAAATTATTCATTATCCACCAACTACTAATTTAATTATTTATTCGGTACTTAAGGAAAAAAAGTGTAAATATGAATTTTCAATAAATAAACAACAAAACCTTAGAAATACAACAAAAATCTAAGCATCAGATTTAAAACAATCAATATTTCATTTTTCATAAATTTTCAAAAATGTAATGGTATCCTTTTTTCATATCTATATATATATATATATATACATATATATATATATATATATATATAATATCTAATCAATTACCTAGTAAGAAATAAAATATGTAATAAGTATGTTAGGACCTTAATTGATTTCTTAGCTATTATATTATAATATTTAAACAATTCTTAAAAATTCATAGTTATGATTTTCTATTATTTGTATAAGATTTTTGATAAATTATTATAATATTTTATAATTATTAAAATTTTTTTTGTAGAAAATCATTTTAAATGATTTATTATTATATATACAAAATCAAAACATCATTTTAAGATGTATTTTAGTGCTGCAAATATTTAAACTATTTAAATAAATCAAAATATGTATAAATTAGTAAAATAGGTCAAGTATATAATATTTACTTATAATTTTTTTTAAAACCATTTTAGATATGAATTGGATCTATAATTATACTTGAATACTCCATCTAGCTATAAAAACCTCTATTATAAATAATTTAGATCTAAAAAAAACAAAAACAAAAAAAAAACTCTAATATAGTATTTTACATCTTAAGTGCTTAATCTACAAGTATTGTGGTTTTTAGAAAATATTTACAAGGTTTATTTATTAGTTTCTATATATAGAAATAATAATAAGATTATTATCAATGTTTTAAATAATTCTATTATATTCCAATATTAATTTAAGCATCTCTAATCCATTTGTACTTTGCAATAGTTGTTCTACTAACAGACATCTTCTTAAGCTTCTTTATCTATTTTTATTTTTACATGTGATAATTATTTGTTGGTAAATTTCTATAAATTTATATCTTTAATATTTAAAATATTTAAGGTTCCTAAAAACTTTCATATATTTTTTTGGTGCATATTTACTATTGTTGCATAATTCTAATTTATTCAATCAATTATTAATGACCAAATTCACTTCATACACAGATATATATAATTTTGATGTACCTTATGTAGGGCCTTAATTGTAGTCTAGAAATTAACCTATATATTCTTTATTGGAATTATGTTGTTGCAATTTTAACTAAAGTGCCTCTAAATTCTACCAAAAGTTACTTATACTACTCTGATAGTAGATTCTACATGTTAATTAAGTTTCAATTTTAACTATTAGATTAATTTTAAATATTTTTTTTAATTTTATTTTTTTACATATTAATAAAAATATATTTATACTTTAGAAAAAAATTAAAAATACAATAATACTATGATAGTTAAATAAGAACTTTGAATTCTACCTTTCATTTTGAATTTTAAAAATAATATATATATATATATATATCGATAGATGTAGATTTTTTTTTAAAACTATATTTTAAAATCAAACTTTGGTTTTATATTTTGTAAATAGAAATTCTCAATAATTTTTAATATGTATTTAATATATTCTAGGAATTATATTAAATTACTTTCAAATACTTTTAAAATAATGATTGAAAGTTCTTTGTACCACATCTTAGGGCCACATAAATAATGAAAATTTGTGATCTTAAGAAATAATTAAAAATACGTATTAAATTTTAATGTGGTTCTAAAGAAATAGTCTTAAAAAATTGCATTATTTTATAATTGTTGAGAATGTTTAGAAAGACACAAGAGTAATAGTAAGTCATACACACACACGAGTAGTAGTAAGTCATACATACACAAGGGTTTCTAAGGAGAGAGAGCTTCACACACACAAAAATCTATTGATCTGGTTGTATCTCGTATACAAGAAGAGAGAAGATAAGAGGATGAACAGTACTTCTCTACTAGACTCTAAATACTGTAGCTACAATAATTACTATAGTCTACAGTAAATATTATGGAGAGCATCGGCTACATTTAATGATCTCAACACTCTTCCATGCTCATCATAATATTTACATAATATAAGATTTATATAGATTTATGATCTATACTTTTCTGTGATCTTGTAAGATCAAGAATTGTTGCCTCATTAAAACCTTATCTAGGAAAACCTTATTTTATTTAAGGACAAAACCATAGATGAAGGAAAAAGAGCACAACATCATTTTCTTTAATTATTTAAAGAGCTCTTTAACTTTCTTATTCAAGAAAAGCAAGTCGCCGCATACCAATGCCATAAGTAAGTCGACGATGATTGTTTAATGGGAGAGCTTTGGTGAAGAGATCAGCAAGATTATTTGTAGATTCAATTTTCTTAATTATAAGTGCTTGATCAGTAATCAAGTCATGAGTATAACTAAAATACTTTGGATCAATATGCTTTGTCATGTCGCCTTTAATGAAACCAACTTGCATCTGTGCAATACAAACACTATTATCTTCATGCAAGATAGTTGAAGAATCATCATATGAAAATCCACAGGTTGTTTGAATGAATTTATCAATTGATTGCAACCAAATACATTCTCGAGATGCTTCATGTAAGACAATAATTTCTGCATGGTTGGATGAAGTTGCAGTTATTGTTTGTTTCACTGATTTCTATGATATTGCAGCTCCATGTCTTAAAAATACATATCCTGTTTGAGATTTAGCTGTTGCAATATCAGATTTATATCTTGCATCACAATATCCAATCAATTTTGGATCTGCAGATTTTGTGTAATATAATTCCAAGTCTTCAGTACCTTTTAAATAACGTAATAAATGTTTGATGCCATTCCAATGTCGTAGTGCTAGACGTGCACTATGTCTTACAAGAACACTAACTGCAAATGCAATATCTGATCTTGTAGATGTAGCTAAATACAAAAGTGCTCAAACCACTGCGAGGTATGGATATTGGTCTCCCAATATTTCCTCCTCCTCCTTGCATGGACGGTATGGATCATGACCATCACGACCACATCCAACCATTGGTGTGGACAATGGATAAACATCATTCATATTAAATCTTTGCAAAATTCATCTAATATACGTTAGTTGGTAGAGAAAAATGCTACCATCTGTAAGATGCATAATCTGAAGACCAATGCAAAAAGTTATTTTTCCTAGCATTTTCATCTCAAATTCACGTATAAGTAGGTTTGTAGCTGTAACACATGCAGTTGTAGTGCCCACTAGGTTAAGATCATCAACATATACAGCGATGATCACAAAACCAGTTTTATCTCGTTTGATAAACAAACAAGGAATTAGTGGATCACTTATAAAATTATTTTTAATTAAATAATCTCGAAGACGTTAATACCACATTCGTCCAGATTGTTTTAAACCATACAAGGCCTTACATAATTTAATACCACGATATTTTTCTGGAGCGGGTTGATTTGGAGTTCCTGTTTCTAAGCTAGGTAGAACTTTCATATAAATATTTGCATCAAGAGAACCATATAGATATGCAGTAACTACATCCATCAGATGCATCTCAAGGGTGGCATGAAATGTCAATCCAATAATATATCAAAATGTAATTGAATCCATGACTGGAGAATATGTGGATTCATAATCAATGCCAAATCGTTGAGAAAATCCTTGAGCAACAAGACGAGCTTTATAGCGGCTTATTTGGCCTTGAGCATCTCACTTGCATATTAATACCATTTTATATCCCACAGGGCGAGATGTAAGAGTGTCTACAATTGGATCAAAGACTTTCCTCTTACGCAAAGAGGCATATTCTTTCTCAATAGCAGTTTTTCATTTTGACCAATCAGAGCGACGCATCGCCTCTTTGATGGTTTGAGGTTCAAGATCATCTTCCTTGCAAAAAAGGGCTTCTATAATCATATATGCAAATGATTTATCTACCGTAATAGATGGTCTGTCCCAAATATCATCTATAGCACAATATAGAATAGATAATTCTTTACTCAACTTATTCTTATTCCTTCCAATTCCAAGATTATTTTTCATAGGAATTGAAGGTACATTATGTATGGATATATCATCATGAATTGGTAGTCCTACAAGATGAGTGGTAATTTCTTGAGAAATAATACCAGGATTAGTTAATTTTATAGCTTTCTTCTTACGTGGTTGCTTATCTGGTCCACGAGTTCTTTTATTTGTTGTTGTTATAACTTGAGGTATTATAATCAATGGCACTGCAATCTGAGCAGGTGCATTCCGAGCCTCATTAATAGGAACTCTTGTAATTCTAGGTGTATCATTGAAGCCATCAAGTGTTTCATCCGCGATCCGTTTTAAATACAAAATCTTAGCAACTTCAGTTCCTGCCAAAGATGTCCTAGGATCGGGATTCATTGTAAATGTTTCTGGTGCTTCAAATATGAGTACTTTATTTCTTTGTTGATTAGATATTCCTCCTTGAAGAGATGGGAATACAATTTCTTCAAAACGGCAATTTTACAGACGTGCACGTGATAATGTGCCAGTTGATGGATCAATAATATGAATAATGCTTGGTGAATCAAAACCAACATATATGCCTTCTTGTCGATGAGCTCCAATGATACGTCGTTGAGGTTCTGGTACTGGAATCCAAGCACGACAACCAAATACTCGTAAGTGAGATACATTTGGAACACGGCCCGAAATGAGTTCATGTGGTGAAACAGTTTCAAGAAAAGAAGG